GGGGAGGAAGGGGAGCAGCGCGAGGAGGAGGAGGAGGAGGAGGAGGAGGGGGAAGGCTCCCCAGCGCTGCCGGAAGCCGCTCACCCGTGGCGGGGGGGCCGGATCCAGCTGCGGCCCCGCGGTGGCTTCGCTGGGGCCGACGGCCCAAGGAGGGGGGGATGGGGGGCACAGGCTGAGACCCCCAGGGGTCCATGGGGTGAAAATCCGTCCTGACCCGATCCCACTCCCACTCCCATTCCCATCCCCACTCCCACTCACTTGGCTCCAGCGCTCAGGACGCGGCTCTTCCTCAGCACCGCCGCCAGCATCCTCCCCCGGGGACAGGGGGGACACCCCGGGGACACCCCGGGCACCCCCAGCCCCACGGGGGAACCCCGGCAGGTCCCGGCCACCCCCTGCGACCCCCGAGCCCGGACTTTCCTCCTTGTCCTCCTCGGGGCTCCCACGGCTGGAGCTGCCGGGAGGGCTCGAGTGAAAGAGGAAACAGGGAGGGAGGGGGGCGGGTGACATCAGCCACGCGCACCCTGTCACCGGCCAGGAGGGGACAGCGCCGGGGACAGGCAGCAGGGCCCCTGCCAGGCCGGGCATTGCCCGGGGCACCCACCGCGGGTGCCAGGATGCACAGCCACGCTTCGGGTGCGTGTGACACCGTGACAGCCTCACACCCGGCTGTGCCACCACCAGAGCCGGGGGGGGGTCCTCTGTCATTGTCCCTGATCCCGGTATCCCTGAGGCCATCCCACTGTCCCTAAGGCCATCCATGCTGGTGTCCACCACACCACCCATCCTGATGTCCCTGATGCCATCCCGGTGCCCCTGAGGCCATCCCAGTGTCCCTGATGCCTTCCATTCCAGTGTTCATGACACCACCCATCCTGATATCCCCGATGCCATCCTGGTGTCCCTGATGCCATCTCGATGTCCCTGAGGCCATCCATTCCAGTGTCCATCACACCACCCATCCTGATGCCCCCATCTCAGTGTCCCCAGTGCCATCCCGGCGGTCCCGCTGCCACCCCTCCCGGTGCCCCGCTGTCCCCCGGCGGGTCCCACCTGAAGCAGTCCGAGTGCCAGTCTGCCTTCAGCGCCTGCAGGTACTGCCCATCGTAGATGCCCTGCCCACAGCTCGCACACACCGGCAGGTTGGTCCCTGTGGCAGGGGGGCACACGAGGGGACAGGGCTGTCACCCCACAGCAGCACCCGGGATTAGCTCCCTCTGCCCCGAGGTGATGAACTCCAACCCTCCATCCCCCAACCCCATCGATCCCGGGACGGGCCAAGGTCGTGGCACTGATGTCCCCAGGGGTGGGATGGGGGGCACATGATGAGGGGCAGGAGGGGTGGCGGGGAGTGGCAGGGGGACAGGGGGTGCAGGGATGGGGACAGGGGGGATGCAGGGGAGCAGGATGGGGACAGGGGTGCAGGGTGGGTGCAGGGATGGGGACAGGGGGGATGCAGGGGAGCAGGATGGGGACAGGGGTGCAGGGTGGCTGCAGGGGGCTGAAGGAATGTAAGG